TGCTCTGTTCCCTAGATTGGCCTTGAAAACACAGAGACCCTGTCTAAAAAGTGTGCTGTCTGAATTTTTGCTTACTTAAAATGGCTGTCCTTTCCTGCCTGATATCCAGCAAGCTTTAATAAAGCATAAATAAAATAGCACCACATTTCAGCACAAATAAAATATCAGTACACCTGCAGCTCATTAGAACTTCATGGGTATTCTCAATCCTGTAATGGCAGGACTTTACTCAATTCTTTACACTATCCCTTCAGAAACCACACACTACTCAGTTCTAGCTCTCAAGGACACCTTCTTTCCTATATCTCTCAGCCTTTTCTCTGAATAATCATTTCCTTATCCTGGGCAGATGCTGACACTCACCTGTATATGTAGCTAACTGGACGGTCTTGACACACAGTTTATGGACATCCAACAACATTTTCATCAATCCTCACCTTCTGGCTTGCTCTCCTTCTCCCTCATTGGCTTTACCTTTTACAATTAGTAGATAACATTCTCCTCTGTGGCTCATAGTGTAAGTTAGTCAAACTAACACCTCCTCTTCTAATTTTTTGTACCAGTGGAGTTATGGAATCTCAAGTTCCAAAATCCAGCTCTCCACTCCTCAGGTCACCTATTTGGGTGTAAACATTACCACATCATACTAGGCTATGGCGTCACTGACTCCTTGTAATCCTGTGTTTGAACTTTTCAATCTCCTGGCTCACTCCTTTTATGAGGTAGCTCAGGGATCCTGCATTAATCCCTCAATCACCCCATTATTAATCATTTCCAGAAACTGCAATAGGCTGTGCTTCAGGACTCTGAACTACACCTCCCTAATGTCTCTCATCTATACCTTCCAGTTGGTACAGGGGCAATTCCTAAAGGTTATACATACTCCACATATGCTTTTTATTTTGTTTTGCAAGACAAGCTCTATGTAATTTTGGTGCCTGTCCTGAATCTTCCTCTGTAGACCATGCTATCTTTGAACTCACAGACATCTGCCTGGGTCTGACTCTGATGTGCTGATTTTAAAGGCATTTGCCACCACCACCAATTTCCAAATATACTTTACATACCCTCCTGTCCCATACTCATATGTGGAAAAAGCATGGGATTCTCACAGCAAAAGGACAATTCATAACTAACTGAGGCCAAATATTGGTCAAGTTAAAAGCTTCCTATTTCCCAAATGTAATTGGAATTATTCACTGTCAATCTCATCAGAGTGAGAGCTCTATCATCTCTAAGGGAAATAACTATATCAACCTAATTTCTAGGACAGTGGCAATCTAGACCCCAGACTTATGTCCTTCACCACAGGCAATACATAGATTTCAACCAATATCCTCACAGTCATCTCCTGTCACTATTACAATTCTGGCGTATCTACACCAGCTCTTTCATGCAAATCATCTTTTTATGTTTCAGTTCATAGTAGGGAACCTACAGCCCACATGCTGTGGAATGTTCTGTATGCTCTGAATATATTGCTCTGATTGGTTAATAATTAAAGTGCTGAATGGCCAGTAGACAGACAGGAAGTATAGGAGGATAAATAGAGAGGAGATTTTGTGGAAGTGGAAGGCTGAGTGAGGGAGATGCTGCCAGAATCCATGTTGAGAAACAACATGTAATGATTCTGTTAAGCCATGAGTCACATGGCAACTTATTGATTAATAGAAATTGGTTAATTTAAGATATAAGAACAGCTAACAAGAAGCCTGAGCCATTAGGCCTTACAGTTTGTAAATAATATTAGTCTTGGTGTGTTTTC